CCATAACTAATGAGTTCTTGAGGCAGGTTGGACAAAAGCAGTTGCAGGATGTGGAGTTGGTGAAGCTTCTTGGGTTGCTGGGTACCGAGAAGGCTGTGGGTTTTGAGCTGAGAGGGGACGGAATCTTGAGGTTCAAGGGCAGAATCTATCTACCTCAGGATGTTGAGCTGAGAGAGCTGTGCTGGAGGAAGGCCACAAGAGCAGACTTAGCATACATCCAGGTATGACTAAGATGTACCAGGACCTCAAGAAGACTTTTTGGTGGTCTGGTATGAAGAAGGAGATAGCTGAGTATGTGGCGGCCTATCTGACCTGTCAGAAGGCAAAGGTTGAGCATCAGAAGCCGAGTGGGCTGATGCAACAGATTGAGATTCCAAAATGGAAGTGGGATAGTATCACTATGGACTTTGTTGTTGGGTTGCCTAGGTCGGCTAGGAATAGTGATGCTATCTGGGTGATTGTTGATCAGTTGACCAAGTGTGCACATTTCCTGCCTGTCAACATCAAGTGGTCCTTGGAGAAGCTGACACAGATATATGTGAGGGAGATAGTACGACTGCATGGGGTGCCTTCCAGTATTATTTCCGACCGGGATCCGAGGTTCACTTCTAGATTTTGGCAGAGTCTACACCAAGCTCTAGGCACGAAGCTGAAGCTGAGCTGGACACCCCACTAAATAAATATACATAAAAAATAACACAAAAGTATATAAAATTTTAAAGAGATAAGGTTCTTCTCCCCCTTACTCCGTAAGCACTTACGTAATTTGTTGTACGGGAATATTTCAATCATTTATGGGCTGGTGCTGAGGTGGCACATAAACTCATACTTGTGGCACATAAACTCATAGACCCCTTGTTGACCTGACGTGGCATATGGATGCTTGCATACAGATTCGTGTTACACTTATAGTTATCTCATCCTGATTTTTAATTGCTTTATAAAAAATATAGGATTCAAACCCAGCACCAAGCATTTGAAGTCCCTAAGCACAAGGAATAAAACTACTAAACCATTTTATTTTATATGTTTATAACATCATGTAAATTTATAATAAGTTATTTCTCATGACAATATTTATAATATAATTAGTTAGTACACACACACACACACACATATATATATATATATATATATATATATATATATATTTATACTAA